GGGCTGTGCCGTTTCCCGGGAGCTCATGGTGTCAGGTGACCAGGAGATGAAGAAGCAATACAATGTGTCATAGAAAAGCCCGCCATGACCGAACCACGAGCAGATTCCAGAGCAAATGCGAAAGAGGAGACGTGAGAGAAATACGGAATGCTTCTCCTGGTGGGGGTCCACGCTCATGCTCCTCTGCCGTGGCTTTAGTAGACAGGTGTGGGCACAAGAGCGGTCACCCTGAGCGGTCACCCTGGCCCTGAGCCCTCACCCTGGGCCTCCGTCTTTACCTGTGGCAGCTGGAGACCCTTCACAAAGGAGTGCCACACCCCAGATGACCCCTAACCCAAATGAGTCCAATCCCTCCCCTCCGCCACCTTGGTGACCTCTGACCCTGAACAAGGGACCGCCATGCACAGTCAGGGCCACTGAGCTATCAGTCAAGACAGGAGTGACCTTCTAGGTACACACCAAGCCCAGGGACTGGGCTGCAAAGAACCTGCGTGAATGATGTCCCCAGCCCCTGCAGGACCCAGCAGGCGGGGTGACCAGGGCCGGTGAGGGCCCTGGGAGGAGGTCTGGGCTCACTGGCCTGGCTCAGGCCCACCTGCCTCCTCCCGCGGCCATCCTGGCACCTCTGGCCAGACTGGCTGCAGGTTCAGGAAGGGCGGGGCCGGCTACAGACAGGGGCCACGACCACTTTGCAGCCAAGGCCTCATGGGTCTCTAATCCCCTGTCCCGAGACAGGGCCCAGAAGTCCCAGCCTTGTAGCAGCCCCCACTGTGCCCCTCAGGAGGTGCGTTCATGTGCATCTTGGTTCCCTGGACCTCATGGGCACATGGGGAGGCTCTGCTCACAGGATTTACACACCTGGGCTGGGGGCACCGGCTGCTTGAGGCTTCCAGGAGGGGAAGGCCAGTATCTTCTAGCCCGTGTCACTTTTCACACACACCCTTAGGATTCCAAGTTCAGCGGGGTGGGGAGTAGGGCCCTGGGCTTCACCGCTGCCCGCCTTCTTCCCTGGCCCCCTCCCACCCGGCTGGCACTTGTCTCTGTGACTCACGAGTTCACACACAGGACCACAATGTTCTTCCACAGGTTCCGGGTCCCCACCACCTTCACGATGCAGACCTTCTTGGGCCTCCGGGAAAGCTCCTTCTCCAGCTCTGCAAAGAAACAGACCCTGTGAGCCCTGGGCAGGCCGCCATGGAGGATGGCACAGCAGCTGCAGGCACAGTCCTGGTTCCCCAGTTTGGGCACCACGGAAGGGAGAGAAAGCCTTGTTTTTTTTTCTTTGCCAGTGGAGAGGGTCTAGGTTTCCGGGACAGAAAGGCACTCAGAAGACTCCAGCTCTGCAGTTCCGGTTTCCCTCGGGTGCCTGAGAGGGCACAAGGTGCACCGTCAGCAGAAGTTTCCATCGCAAACCCTTTTTGTGAAAGCGGGCCGAGTACACACAAATAAACAAACAGTGTCGACTCAGTTCACTTTTGTCTGAGGACAGAGCTCAGCGATGATATTCTAGGTTACTGAGGCACTCATTAGGCCCTGGGCAAATCTAAACAAGCAGTTCTTTTCCGTACACTCTGCATCTGCCTGTGTCACCCCCGGCTCGGAGACTGGGAAGGCCACGTGCAGATATGCTCCTTAGCCTCGTGGGGTGGAACTTACCATGGCTGTAGCTACTGCTGCTGAAACTGCCCTTAGGACATACGAATCTTTGAAAGACAAACACATAAGTGAATACATCTGCATGTACACACACATACATGCACACATTCATACGCATATGTATACATGTGCATGTTTTAGTTAATGGAAGTCCTTGGGAGCTGGACAATGTTTTGGCTCCAAGGGATGTGAGCAACTATAAAGTCATGAGACTGGGTTTCTTGTGCGGCCCCAGCAGCTCTGAGAGCCCCTCTGAAGGGAGTCCACCAGCGCAGTGTTACAGGGGTCTGCAGAGGTGCTGGTGTCGATTTGGCAAGTTACAGGGAAGAGATGTGTATAAGAGACAGGTGTTACAGGGGTCTGCAGAGGTGCTGGTGTCGATTTGGCAAGTTACAGGGAAGATTCAGAATGCGGCAGAGGCTCCAGGAGCTGTTTGCCTGCGCGTCTGGGAGCAGGAATGCCACTCGCAGCCTTCTGTTGCCTCTCTGCCTTCCTAGCCTGGCATGTCTTCATGGAATCATCCCCTACTGGGGAGCTAAAAAAGAAAAAGGAGACTTCCCGAAGCGGAGGGGAACCAGGACTCTTCAAGACTGTCAAGGTCACGAGAAACAAGAAAGACTGAGCAGCTGTCAGACCGGGAGACTAGGGAGAGGGGAGAACGAGACGCAGTCCTGGGCGGCATCCCGGGGCGGGAGGAGGCTTCATGGAAAGCACGATGACGGGAGGCACCAGATAAAGGCTGGGGTTTGGTGAACAGCAGTGTTCCAATGTCACTTTCTTAGTTTTGACAATAGTATCACGACAATATCAGACATTCGCAATCGGGGAAGCCGAGTGAGGGGTATACGGAGATTCTGTACTATCTCAGCAGCTTTCCTGTACATCTAAAATTATCCCCGAATAATATATTTATAAAATAAGAAAAGCGGTGGAGATGGGGAGGCTTCTGTCTACTGAGGAAGGCTTCAGTGCTGGGAGTTGCCCCTGGAGGAACCCTCCTGCTCCCTCGGGGGCTGTGTCTCCAGGACCCTGGCCCTGTGCTTCCGAGGGCCACTCTGAACCCTAGATGGCTCAAGTTCCACCTTCCTCTTCCACCTCCTTCCTGCCATCCAGCAGCAGGAGGGTCACAAAACTCCTTCGTTATAGTTTAAAGAAAAAATGTGTTGCTAAATCCTAGGGATTGAGGAACTTTTTATTCAAACATTGTTTTTGAACTCAGTGTCACCAGCCAGGCCACAGAAGGGAGAAGGAGAAACTTTTCCCTTGTCTGAGGGATATCATGTCTGCTGAGTTTCCAGAACTTTCTTCCTTCCCATACTTAGGTGCAAAGATTGAGGTCTGTATGCAAGCCCACAGGGCCGGCATTTCAGCTGCTGGTCCACGGACCCTCTCAGCTCCCAAGGTCTCCTGACCATTATTTTTCCTTAGCAAAAATGGGCTACTTTGACTACAGGCACAGTTTCTCTATGGTTAAAAAAACTAATTTTGTAAAGAGCTTGAAAATATCATGGTTAACAGAAAACCTTGGATCCGATGATCTGAGTATCTTTGCTATTATAGACCTCATCAGAAACCAACTCTAATAGCTACGTTTTATCACTATGGATGACTTCCGAGAAGAAAATTTAAATGCCCATTAGCAAGTCCATATAAGTTTAAAGTTTAAAAAATATATATCCCAAACTGAACTCCTGATACGTTATTGTTTATGAAGTATGATGTTAAAGCAGCAATAACAATTGCATTATGACCTGAGCTTTTTAAATAAAATTAAACCTAGAACCCAGTCTAAAAAATTGACTGTAGTGGCAGAGGTAACTGAATTCTTCTAAGTGGAATTAGATTAACCTTTCCAGGGCTATTGATATGTTGTCAGGAAGCACATGAAGTGCTTCCTCCCATGCCTGGCAGAGTCACTGTCCAGTGACTTTTTGCTTATCATACTACCAGTTACTCACATCACCAGCCTGTCAACAACATGAAGCTTCTGCAGCATTGTCTGTTCTTCTGGGCCCCAAATCCACAAGCTCTGTGTTATAGGACACTTCAGATGGCTCTAACACCGGTAGCTGAATCCAAGAGGCCTTTTTGTCTGTCCAGATATCAGATGGACATCTAGGGACTTCTCTGAACTCCTCACACATGGAAATGAATGGGCAACAGGGAGCCCGGCCAGGTTGTGGGGCACTGGCATCCAGGATTTGCTGCTGTGAGCACCCGGCTCCCGTGCGCTCCTCGAGACGGAGGAGGAGGAGGACACATCGGCCTGCTCAACTTAGAGCCATCAGAAAATTTTCCAACCAAAACCCACGTCGGGCCTACTGAATTTTGTTGTCCAACTCCACCCTGTGGCCCCAGTGCCTCCACATTTTCACGGATCCTCGTGTGGTTGGGGCTGAGGTCTGGGTGCTGTGAGGGGCCCGATGAGCCCGGGCAGGAACCCAGCTTCTGCACTTGTGGCTGGCTCCTTGGAAAAGCTGCGCTGTCCTCGCTCTGAGCCCAGCTGCTCATCTGTGAAGTAGGACGAAGCGCTGCCTGGCTGGCTGGGAGAACTCGGTGAGGCCTCTGGGAGCACTCGAGGAGCACGTGTCCTCCTGCCCCAGGCTCAGTGAACCCAACATCTCCCACCTTCTCTTCACCAACAGACGAAGGGAAAGGAGGCCCTGATGACCCTGCTGACTCGCTGGGAGGAGGGCACGGCCTCTCCACATTTGGCCATCTGGTGTGAGAGGTAAATCAGGCCTCCGAGGACAGCAGAGGAGGCAGTGGCCCCTTGCCCAAGACGAGGCTTGGAGGAGCAGGGAAAACACACGCAGAGGAGAACTGGAATTGGCTTGCGTGGGGGTGTGGGATAAACTGGCTTTGTTGTCATCCTAGTGGACGATGCTAGTGTGTTAGGGGTGAAATTGGAAAAGCATGAGTTATAGAGACAGCAAGCAAGAAAAGAAAAAGGAGGAGGACAAGGAGCAGGAGGAGGAGAAAAAGAGAAAAGGAAGGGGAAGAAGGGATGCTGCCATCTCTGCCACAAGAGTCATGAAAAAAGCACACTAAATGCTCCAAGGAGGCAGCTCTGAGCCCCACGCCCCTGTTGGGAAGTAGAAAAAGCAGCCACTGCCCCTTCCACGCAGCCCTTCTCCCCTCCGGGACGGATTGTGATGGCGCCACTCGGCCGCTTGAATAAATGTGCTTTAAAGCAAGTGGAAGATAAGCATCCATAGGAATCTTATCATGAAGTCACCTCAGACAGCACAGTCTTCAACGTCTAGCCAAGCCTTCAGCAACTGACCTGGCACCGCCGACCTCTGTCATCTCTGTCCTCATCTGCCCAGACCTGGGCTCCACCTAACCCGAGCCCTCTGAGTGAGCCGTGGCGGTCGTCTGCGGAGCGAGGGCCCCGTGCAGCCTGCCTGGGGTCAGATCTTGCTTTCATCACTTACGGGTGGTGTGACTTGGGTAAGGTACCTAGTGTGGAACGTGGAGGTGGCCTGACACATCCACCCTCTTGTCATCTCAGGATCTGAACAGATTGTTAAGGCAGAGTGAGGCAGGTCAGGACAAAACCCAAGCTCTGTCATTGCTAAGGGTAGCGGGGAGCCCTACACGGGGCTAAGATGGGGACGCTCGGATCACACAGACTCAGCCGTGCATCCTGGCAATGCTGGGCAGGTTGGCTTCTCGGGGGTAAGGTGTGAGGCTGCCGGAGAGGACTGATGCTGAGGACGGAGGATGCCTGCACCCTGCACGTGGCTCCCCACAAGGAGAGAACACAGGAGCACATTTGCTGTCCTTCCTCTGGGGCTAGCCTGACCCTGAGAGGGATCATGGAGTTACTGTTCCCCAGTGCTCAGCCTCTTTCTGAGCTGTAAAGCAGGAGAATGGCTCCTCTCCCTTGTGAAGCTCAGATGCAGATGACATGCACATGAAGCGCTTCCTCCCATGCCTGGCAGTTGCTGTCCAGTGACTTTTTGCTTATCTTACTACCAGCTGAGCATTCTACATCCCAAAATCTGAAGCCTGAAATGCTCTAAAATTGAGGATCTTTTGAGCACCCACATGATTCTCAAAGGAAATGCTCACTGGAGCATTTAGATTTGGGATTTTTGGATTTGGAAAGCTCAACCAGTAAGTATAATACAAATATCCCCAAATCCCAAAACATCCAATCCCCGAAACACTTCTGGTCCCAAGCATTCTGGATAAGGGATGCTCAGCCTGCAGAACTCAGTCTTGTGTGTGGCACTCATCCTGGGTCTCATTTTTGCATTAGGTTGCTGACCACACAGCCATACTGGGAACCAGCGGGCCTTTTACTCCTGCTAGAAATGCTGGAAACCTCAGGAATTATGACACGGGAGTGCTGTCGGCACTTGGGTGCGTTATGTGATATGAAGGTTGCAGGACTGACATTGAGAGATTGATGCTCAGGAACACACCCACACATCTAAAGTAACTCAGCTACACAGGCCACTGAGAACATCAGACTTGCTAGAAGATAAACCAAGGACAGCTTTAAAACAGAAAAGGAAATAAGAAATTTGGGAACATCAGGTTTTCCCCTGGCATAAATCCAAGGTTAGGATGTACTGACGGGGCAGCAAGCAGCCCCACTGGACCCCTACATGTACCTCCAGCCAGGCCCGAGACACCCACCTACCCAGAGGCGCTGCAACCACAGTCCTAACCCTTCCTTACTACAGGAGTCCCGGGTTCGTTCAGCCCATAAATATTCACGGCACGCCTGCTACGCGTCAGGCCTTCGGCTGGGCTGCTGCTGGGGGTGCAGAAGTGTCTGGCTCTACAGACAGAGGCCATGCCTTGCCTGGCCTTGCCGCTCCGCAGGGGTGACAGGCATTAATAAGGAGCCCTGCAATTACTCATCATAGCTGGGATGAGCGGAAGCGGGGAGAAGTGCTGAAGCTATAACAGTGAGTAACCGGAGGGCGGACTTGGTCTCTGAGGAGCTGGCCAAGGCAAGAGTGGGAGCTGAGAGGACAGGGAGTGTGCACGGGGAGGGCCCTGTGGAGAGGAAGATGGTGGTGTGTCCTGGGAGCCAAATGAAGGCCAGGGTGTGAGGCGGCGGGAGGCAGAGACCAGAGAGGGCCTCGACAGTGACCTGGAGGACCTGAGGTCTACACGAAACACACTGGGAGGCACTGGAGAGGCTTGAAGCCGGTGGTGATGTGATCAGATCCTGTGTGACCTGGTGGCAGGGAGGATGGAACAAAGCTGGGAGCCCAGCCAGTCGGCCAGGGCACGAGAGGGTGACAGACACGAGGCTTGGAGCGGGTGTTGGCTGTGGGATTAGATGGGGTGATGGGAGGAAGATTCCATGCAGAAAACTGAGTCTGGGCGGAGGAAGCTGGAAGTGGGAGACGTAGCAGCTGAAAGGCACGCTGCCTTCCCCCAGCACTCAGCAGCCCCGCCATCGTGCTGCCATCAACACATCTGACGGCCGGGGGCGGCAGAGAGCAGAGGCCGCCGTGAAGGGCGGCAGAGCAGAGCGACCGCCGGAGGACCGCTCCCCATGGAGGTGAAGCCTCTGTCCTCTTCCTTAAGTCACATGTCACCAACTACCTCTCACCCAGCCTCCTGCCTGGGACTCTGGAACGGAAATAAGGACCAGCAAAACTCATGAGCAAAGAAATAAATTTTTAAAAAGGATCTAATACCACTTTCCAAATATAGGAGGGAAATGAATCAGTGTAATTAGGATTGAGAAAACAAGCTATTCCCAGACAATATTTTAACGTGAAAGAAGCGGAGTGTGATGGCTTAATTAGGGAAATGCCACAAACAAATTGTACTGTAAGCCTAAGAGCATTAACCTGCTAACGAGTGAGGTCTGGGGAAATCTGGGAAAGCCGTCTGGACCGTCCAAAACCAGCAAGCACGGCCCCGCTGGAGACACCTCGGCTGAGCACTCACTGCTCAGCGCAGGGAAGTTTGATCTACCCGGAGCTCTCCCTCATGTTACAGCAGCATGGCAAGGCCACCCCTGCTGGACTTTGCAGGTCAAATCCTCACTCAGCTTCTTAGCAGCTGTGTGACCTCTGGAAGCTACTTAGCCTCTCTGTGCTCTCGTTTCCTCATTGGCAAATGTGACTAATTATAGTGCCTTTCTCATAGGCTGTCATGGAGAAATAACACACGTGAAGCGCTTGGGACTAAATATTAAATATGAGTTAATATTTGCAAATCACTTAGAAAAGTAGCTGACATGGAAGTGCCATGTGAGTGTCATCTTGTTTCTCGTCACTGTCCCTGGATTAAAAAGGGACCACAGATGCACCAACACTCAGCACCCTTCATGTCAACCAGACCTGGCAAACATCCTTCTTTGGTCCAGCGAAGCAAAAGCTTCGGGCGTCCCTGGGTAGGCCCCGCCCCGCCCAGCACGTGGTCCAGTCTGGCTGTCCTGACTCTCAGGTCACTGCACAAGTCGAGGCAGAGGATGACATCCTGGCTGAGCTACAGCAGCACCAAGGAGCTTCTAGTGACCTAGCGTCCCCGATCTTCTGGATTGGGAGTCTAACGAGAGGCCTGTCCAGGCACCAAGGGCTTCTCTGATTTGGGGTTCCTGTGCATCCCTTCCCGTCATAAATGGATACCTGCAGGGCACATTCTCCCACCTCACTCAGGTTCCTGTACCTGCGCCCTGAGAGCAAAGCTTCCGCAGCCACTCTGACTGCAGTCCCTCCCTGCCATCCTCTATCCCGCGGCCCTGCTGTTTCATCCCTCCTGACGTGGGCACGCGTAGCTCCCTGTCTGCGTGCCCCACCTGCCTGCAAGCTGCGTGAGAGCAAGGCTTTGCCTGTGTCTTCTCTGCTCTAGAACGGTGCCTGAAACACAGCAGGTATTTAGTAAACACCTGTTGATTCAATGAATGAATCGTCATCACAAGCATTTCTGGTCATGGGGGAAAATGAGCACATTCTCTCTTGGACAATGGCCTGGAGGTTATTTTCCCAGGGAATTTTATAACAACTGTCTATCCCAGGTCTTCAGTGAGGGCAGTGAGTCAGAGCGTGGAGCCCACCAGTGACCTTCAAACGGAGATCCGTATACCACTTGCATCAGAATCTCTTCTAGTGCTTATTAGAAATGCAAATTCTCAGGGCTTATCCCAAATCAAATAGGTCAGAATCTCTGGGTTCCAGGGAGAGGCCCAGGAATCTGGATTTTAACAACCTCCTGGTGAAACGTGGATCCTCAGGCTGAGAACCCCCACCTAGCTGTGGTAACGCTCCTGACACACAGGAGTTCTATGGATCTGAACGACTATCCAAAAACACTTCACCTTTCCTGTCTTCGGCTGCCCAACAAATAGGTCACGGCCAGGTAAAGACAGCGGTGGCTCTTTGAAGGTCATGCTTAGGAAAGGTGAGGTCATGGGCCCATCTACACCCTGAACCAGCGCTCTGGCAGTGTTTAGACCTGGCAGGCTATGGGCCAGACAGTCAGATATTCCCTTGAACAGTGTATACTGGGCTCATGGCTCGCTTCTGGATTTAGGCAGGAGAGGAGGAGATCCAGAGTGTGCTGTACTTGATCATGAAAGAAACCAATACCTAGAAAGTGGAGAGAATGTCCAGGCTGCTACATTGCCCTTGTGCAGGCCAAAAGGTCAGAGGAGAATTGCACAGCTGGTTAAAACAGCTGCTTGTGCAATAAAACCAGCCCAGGTGTCAGGGACCTGCCCCGTGGAGCCTCTGTGAGCCCTGCATGACCTCCTGCCCTGGCCAGCCCATGGTGTACTCACCTGGCATCACACCCTTGATGTCACCCTCAGGGTTCATACGGTTCTTCTGTGTGAAGTGGAGGATCAGCCTCTTTGCAGACTCAAACTGCTGGGTGGCCATCAGCCACCGGAGGGACTCGGGGAATATCCTTTAAAGACACAAAGGGGATCGGTGGATGTCTTCTGATTCTGCATGGCACCGGGAAGTGTGGCTTAGGTGTGGCCCGGGAGCTTCCCAGGCAGGTGGCGGTCAGTCTCCAGTTAGGCATCAGCCTCATCGGGGGAGATGAAACCCAGGGCACTGAAACATCCCCAATTTTCTTTCCCAAAGTGTAAAAATCGAGACCTTAAAATGCTTAACAAAAGTTAAAAAGCACATGTTCTCACCCACATACGGAAGCTTAAAAAAAGGTGATCTCATAGAAGTATAAAGTAGAACAGAGGATACTAGAGGCTGGGAAAGGTCAGGGGAAATGGGATAGGGGGAGGTTGGTTGAAGGTTACAAAATTATAGCTAGGTAGGAGGAGCAAGTTCTAATGTTCTATGCCACTGCAGGATGACCATAGCTACTAATAATATACAGTTTCACATAGCTAGAAGGAAGATGTTAAATGTTCCCAACACGAAAAAGTGATATTTGCAATGATGGGCACGATAATTACCCCGATCTGATCATTTTACATTGTACGCATTGCACCATCACTGTGTACCCCATAAATATGTACAATTACTACGTGTCAATTACAAAAATAAAACATAATTTAAACAATGTAACAGAGTAGCAGATATCAACAACATTCGTACCAGTTGTGTCAAGAAATCAGTGTATACCTTTCAAAGTAACGCACGGAGAAACAACTCACGGAAGGCTGCTGCTTTGGTTGTATTTTGTCACAATAAATAGTAATAGAATGATTTTACGTTTAAAAAATTACTTCCAAATATGACCAACCTGCAGTTATTTTCAGTTGTGGAACATGAAGGCTCAGTCTCCCAGGGTTTTCCTTCAGAGCTATTCACATGTTACTGCTAACTGCATGTCACTTTGCCCTCAGACGATGCCACATCACAGTGGTTTTCAAGTTTTACCAAAGTAACAGAATCTATGTTTTTTTTAAAAGACGGAATCTTGTGAGGCACCCCAATACAAAAAAACCAGCGTTTTATTATCAATTAATTTTATAAATTTACATTTATGACAATATTTACAAGCTGCTCAAAGAGAACACCGTGACCGCACAGAGCAGGAGATGGCATACTATCTCTGCAAAAGTCCAAGTCATCAATAGTTTAGACTTTAAGGGTGAAATGGTCTCTCCTCATCTTGGCCTTGTGGCCTGAGAGTGGATGTATGGGAGTGGGTGTGGCTATGGGCTAATAATACTTTACTGCAAAACAGGCAGCTGACCCTTGACTGTTTGGGAGAGACAAAAAGTAGAAATCAAAGCTCAAGATGACAGTCCTAGCTTCTTGTAGCCCTCAGTGTTCTAGTTATCACTTCACTTTATTTTAGTTAAAATTGTGTCAGGAAAGTCACCACGGATGCTGGTAAGAAGTTATTGTGGCCGGGCGCGGTGGCTCAAGCCTGTAATCCCAGCACTTTGGGAGGCCAAGATGGGCGGATCACGACGTCAGGAGATCGAGACCATCCTGGTTAACACGGTGAAACCCCGTCTCTACTAAAAAATACAAAAAAACTAGCCGGGCGAGGTGGCAGGCGCCTGTAGTCCCAGCTACTCAGGAGGCTGAGGCAGGAGAATGGCGTGAACCTGGGAGGCGGAGCTTGCAGTGAGCTGAGATCTGGCCACTGCACTCCAGCCTGGGCGACAGAGTGAGACTCCGTCTCAAAAAAAAAAAAAAAAAAAAAAAAAAAAAAAGAAGTTATTGTAACTACCGAACACCTGCTTTGCAAACTCAAACTCAGGATCGTTCTTTTTTTTTTTTTGAGATGAAGTCTTCCTGCACGCCAGGCTGGAGCGCAGTGGCGTGATCTCAGCTCACTGCAACCTCCGCCTCCCAGGTTCAAGCGATTCTCCTGCCTCAGCCTCCCTAGTAGCTGGGATTACAGGCGCACACCACCATGCTTAGCTAATTTTTGTATTTTTAGTACAGACGAGGTTTCACCATGTTGGTCAGGCTGGTCTCAAACTCCTGACCTCGTGATCCACCTGCCTCTGCCTCCCAAAATGCTGGGATTACAGGCGTGAGCCACCATGCCCGGCCTCAGGAGAGTTTTACAATGAATCTAACAGCTAGAAAAAGTATTAATGGTGCTTCCCTCACCCCGGCCCAAATTCATATATTGGAAACTAAACCCCAATGTGATAGTATTAAGAGATAGGGCCTTTAGGGGTGATTAAGTCACGAGAACGGGAGGCTGAAGAGAGGTGCCTTGCCCCTTCCCTCATGTGAGGACATATAGAAGGCTCCATCTATGAGCAACGCACGCTTGCCAGACACAGAATCTGCTGGTGCCTTCATCCTGGACATCTCAGCCTCCAGAACTGTGGGCAATAAAGTTCTGTTATTTATAAATCATCCAGGTTAAGGTATTTTGTTGAAGCAGCAGGAACAGACTGTGAGAAGTAGAAAATTTTTATTTCAAAGTCACATCATTACTGATATCTAATAACTACTGCTTCCTCCTTACCTATTTGAAAAAATTCCAAATTTCTATTTGTTTGTGACTGCGTTTTACTTGATGAGGTGGTTCCCCCTGAATTCGGTGGTACCTTTGGGATGGTCTGATCTGAATGGTAACTCATTTGGGAGCTTCCTGAAGAGCTGAAAGCTGTCCTGCTGTGCAGGTGTGCGGAATGCAGGAGGGCCGTGTGGAATGGACAGAAGGTCTTCAGTCATCTCACAAGGAAGTCCCAAATGCATTTGCAGGCACTGATTTTTTTTTTTTTTAAATACTCAGTTAATGTTTGTTTTACTGGCCTCTAGCTATAAAAATTAATTTTGAATAACATAATACAAGCAAATAGAAACCTCAGATACTTGACATTAATGTTATATAGTATTCACTGTATAATTTTGCTGTATTTTAAAAATCAGATCTTTTCTTTATAATAAAATAACCTAACACAAATGCCAACTCCCTGTAGTTTAAGTTCTGATCTATAGTATTTCCATCTTTCTGATGCATTCGGGTTTTGTATCTTTTTCTAATTTCTCGGGATAGACACAGAGGTCATTATTATTAATTTTTCTCATAAGCGTATTTAAGACTTCAAAATTCATCTAAGTATTATCATTTGCAATACATTTGTGATTTGATTCTAAATATTTTGTGATTTCTATGAGAATTTTTGCTTATCTAAGAAACAATATATGAATATATATAAATATGGTAATATGATAGCACAAGCGATTTTGCAGGCAGTCTCTGCAGTCTTGAAATATGGCCTACAACGTGGAAATTTGTGTCCTTTCAAAATAATTAAAATTTATATCAAATGCTTATGGAACTCCGTGGCAGGAAATGGATTTTGAAAATCGAGACCGTAAATGAAGAACAAGGCCCAGATGACACAATGGAGGAGGAGCTGTAGCCCCACCTTCCAACCCCTAGGCCAGGACCCCCAAGGGCCACTGCCCAGGGCTGAGGGCACAGGTGGTGTGAACGAGCAGGGCAGAGCTTCCACAAGAGGACATAACTTTTTCATTGCCCCCGGCAATCTCAAGTCCTGTTCCTTGATATATCCTCAAGTGTTATCCACAGGGAGGGGAGAACCGTGGAGATGTGCTCACTACACACCATTTTGAAGCCAGGATAGGAGGTGACAGCTCAGGGAAGATCCAAAATGCGGCATATTTGAGTATAGACATTTGATTTTGCCTTCCAGATAAAGCCCTTGTAAAATGAGTTGGAAGAATTCCTTCTGTTTCATTTTTTGGGGGAATAGTTTGAAAAGAGTTGGTATTAAAATTTTAAAGTTTCAGGAGAATTCAGCAGTGAAGCCCTCTGGTCCCAGACTTTTCTTTTTTGGAAGACTTTTTATGACTGATTCAATCTCATTACTTGTTACTGGTCTGTTCAGCCTTTCTATTTCTTCTTGGCTCAATCACGGAGGTTGTATGTGTCAGGAATTTATCCATTTCCTTTAGGTTTCTGAATTTATTGGCATATAGGTATTCATAGTAGTCTCTGATGATTCTTTGTATTTCTGTGGTGTCTGTTGTGGTGTCTTTTTTGTTTCTGATGTTATTTATTTGGGTCTTCTCTGTCTTTTTCTTAATCTACCTAATGGTTTATGCATTTTTAAAATCTTTTCAAGAAAACCAACTTTTTGTTTCATTGATCTTCTCTGTGGTTTTGTTAGTCTCAAATTCATGTATGATTGCTCTGATCTTTATTATTTCTTTCCTTCTACTACTTTTGAGTTTGGCTTGTTTTTGCTTTTCTAGTACCTTGAAATACATTATTGGGTTGTTTATATGAAATCTCTCTAGTTTTTTGATGTGGGCATTTGTTGCCATAAACTTGCCTGTTAATACTGCTTTTGCTGTGTCCCATAGGTTTTAATATATTGTGTTTCTATTTTCATTTGTATCAATAAATTTTTTAGTTTCCTTCTTAATTTCTTCCTTTGCCCATTGGTTGTTCATGAGTATGTTGTCCAATTTCCATGTATTTGTACAGTTTTGAATGTTCCTCTTGTTATCTGATTTCTAGTTTTAGTCCATTATGGTCACATAGGATACTTGGCATGATTTTGATTTTTAAAAAGTTTTTGAGACTTGTTTTGTGTTCTACTGTACAGCTGATCCTGGAGAAACTAAAACCTTCTGCACAGCAAAGGAAACAATCAACAGACTGAAAACACAATCTACAGAATGAGAGGAAATCTTTGCAAACTATTCATCTGACAGGGGATTAACGTCTAGAACATATGACGAACTCAAACACCTCAACAGCAAAAAAAGAAACAACCTGATTTTAAAAATGGACAACAATCTGAATAGACATTTCTCAGAAGAAGACACAAATGGCCAACAAACATATATTTAAAAAAGCTCAACATCACTAATCATCATTGGAATGCAAATCAAAACCACAATGAGGTATCGACTCACCCCAGTTAGGATGGCTATTATCAAAAAGACAAAAAAAAAAAAATGCTGGCAATGATGTGGAGAAAGGGA